TCAGTCTCAATCAGTGCGCCACAGTACCCTTGAGATCTTTTCTAGGGTGCTGCAGGGTGCCACATGATGTTACTACTGTTAGGTTTGCAAACATGAGACATGATATAAACCCAGAGATTTCAGAGAGGCATTCATAGTGTTAAAAACATTTTGACCTGTTGTGGTTTTTCTGAGTTTTTTGCAACAGAAGAATTGCTGGGTTAAATCAACGAATCACCTTCTTTTAGACAGTAACTGAAGTGCAACTGGAAAAGTTTATTAAAATGGAATACTAAGATGAAGCCTTTATGTCAGAGGGAAAAAAGTAAGCAACAGTAGCACCTATTATGTCCATAGTTATGGGTTCAGAACCTATGACAGCATATCAATGCGGATTTTATTTTTGAGAGAGAGACTTTTTTAACAGTCATGCATACTTTAATATAATGATCAGAAATTAGTTTAGGCAACCTTTAAAGGTAGTGATTATACTATCTAGAAATTACACAAAAGGGAAAGTTCAGTTTACATTAGTGTGCCTACACATCAGATTTCTAGCCGAAACCTGGACTTTTTGGTACAGTGCTACACCTCAGGAATAATCAAAAACACATGCATACAAAAAAATGAGTGAAACCTCACTGGATGGCAGCACTATGGAGAAGGATCTAGAAGTCTTAGTGGATCACAGACCTGTATGAGTCTTCAGTATGACATAGCTACACAAAAGATGAATGTAGTTCTGGGCTCCATCATCTAGGTTCATTAGTTGCAAGACACAGGAGATGATAATGCTTTTTTACTCAGCATTGATTATACCTTGTCTAAAGTACTGTGTGCAGTTGTGGGCTCCACATTTTTTAAAGGATATGGAGGAAATAGAGTCCAGAGGTGGGCAATAAAAATGATAAAAGGCTTGGAAGTCAAGCAATATGAGGAAAGGTTGAAGGAAATAGGCAGGTTCAGCTTAAGGAAAAGGCAGTTAAGAGGGGGCATGATAGCAGTCTTCAAATATCTAAAAGGCCTCCATAAAGAAGTGTGACAACGCTTTTTCTCTTTTGCTGCAGAGAGCCGGACACAGAATAACGGCCTGAAGTTGTAGCAAAGTAGGTTTAGACTGGATATCAGGAGAAACTTCTTCATTGTTTGAACAGTGAGGCAGTGGAACAGGTTGCCTATGAAAGCTGTGTAATCTCCATCACTGGAAGGTATTCAAGAAGAGATTAGACAAGAATTGGTCAGGGATTATCTAGGACACTAATTCTCAACTGGGGTGCCAGAGCTTTCCAAACTTTTCATGTTGATGACACACTTTTTAGACATGCATCATTTCGCGACACAGTAATTCAGTTCTGGGGGAGGGGCCAAGGGAAGCAGACGCGAGTAAGGGAGCTCCGCGGTGCCCTTCCGCAAAATTTTCTGCATTTCGCGCGACACACCTACACACTGCCGCCGACACACTAATGTGTCGCGGCACACAGTTTGGAAAGCTTTGCTCTAGATTCTAAGATTCCATTACTTACCCCTGCACTGTGAACATGCAGCCAGCTTTGCTTGTTCTTCTTCGGCCCATTGATTTTTCTCTTTTGTCTGTCCATGGAGCAGGTGGGTCTAGCTTCAAAAAGACTACTGAGGAGGACCTTGGATAATGTCTAACTGCATGGCAATTAGAGCACCATGCTTGGAAAATCTGAAATATAGCTATGCATCCTCTCTGGGTGAGGGGAGCTGAGAATGCAGGTGTTATGCTTCCAGACTAATGGCTGCTATACATGTGCAGGGATGCTGCTCTGATGCACTATAATTACAGCACACTGGAGCAGACTCGATTAATCAAGTCTTCTCGAACACGATAATTACCACGCTCCAGAAGACTTGAGCGTCATGTGTATCAGCATCCCTGTGCTGAAAAATGGCAGCGGGGTGCTTTAAACTAAAGCTCATTTGACGATTGAAGGGCGCTAATACACGTGACACTCCGGGTGCTTCCACAGTATCATAGTAGCTAGGGTCAGGAGGGACCTGATCAGATCATCTAGCCTGACTCCCTGCCACAGGCAGGAATGAATGCTGGGTTCACAAGACCATCTAACCTCTAACCTCTTTAATTAGCATGGCTCTTGGAGCTGCGGTTATTAAAGCTCCCCCTCCCCCACCCCCCACTGGAGCACACCTATAAACACCCTAAGCCTAACCATCCAGCTACTGGGGCTACAACATATGAGAGCCCTTCTCTTCTGTCCTTTAACTTTTGCTAGTCATGGATTTCTGGCCAGCTACCTTTTTTTTTACTTACACTCATATGTCCAGAATGGACGTGTCCATATAATCAGTGAACAGTCAGTGTACAATCTACAACATATGCTCAATCTATGTGTGTATGGTTATGTGTCCACAGTGCAGAGGTAACAGAATCACAACCTGTGCATAAGTGCCAAAAAAAAAAATTATGAGGCTCAAAAAGTGTCATTTAGGCACACAAAGAGAAAAAGAAGTCTACCCAAAATATTTAGCTATCCTAATTTGTCAGGACAGCTAATTAATCAAAATAAACCATGGCTTGTATTCTATGAGGTCAAAGTCTATGAAAATGAATAGTGTACATCATATAAAATGCCTACTGTACAATTCTGCTGTGGAAATGTAATAGAGATTTGTTCACATAAGTCTTCCAGTCTTCTTATGGAATGTTATCTATGCATAAACAGCTATTTACATGAGTATAGTGCTTACATCACTCATGAAAAGCCCTCAATAATTTTACTAGCTGTGCAAAACCTGCATACTTCTGTCAACTTCTGGGATCTGTTGAGGATAATGTAGTAAAACAAAACAAAAAGCCAGGCAACTAAAAATCAATCAGTTAAAAGCAAAGGGCCAGATTCTATCTGGTTCCTTACATATCTACATTGCAACAAGGAGCATTATGTTCCTTGTTCTAGAAGGGGTTGCTTATGTGCCTAGGATTTCTATATAGTCCCTGCAGAGACACTTGGTTTGGAGAACAGGAAAGCCTCCAAATTATGGATCAGAAAAAGCCCAGAGGAACCTATAGGATCCTTTTAAACCCAGGAGCACACACCTATTCATACTGTCCATTAGGCATCTTCAGTCACTTGAAATTTGCACCACCTTACTCTCCTGAAGACAGCTACCCAACAGCTTCTGAAGAAGAGCCCAACTGTTACAGGAATTAAACATATTTGCCTTACACATGGCAAGGTTCTAGGCCTCTCCCTAATGAGATTTAAATCCAAATCTCCCACTTCTTTGAGAGTGCCTTAACAGCCAAGCTATAAAATAGATATGGTGAAGGTACTTTCTTTCTCTCCTGTTCAAGATGGGCCTGGACTAAATGACCTCTAGAGGTTCTTTCCAGCCCTATTCCTCCATGATTCTGGTCTCACAAAGAAAACAAGCAAGTGAGAGTTTGACTTTGTAGCCTAAGGGTTAAAGCACTCCTCCAAGAGAGGACAGTCCTGGGTCCTGGTCTCTACCAGCAAACAATTACTGTTTTAACCAATGTAAAATGCGTAAACAGTACTTGGAGTAAAGAACAGGAAGGTACTTTATGTCTATTCCAAGCTTCTAAAATTACATAATGGCTACAGCTATCTTAATATTTTTATTTTTTTTATATAGAAAAGCACCAAACAGAGTAGAAATTTTGTTGCTGATCTCTTGCTGGTGTTTTTTTTTAATTATTATTCTGGTAAGATTTTATTTCAGCCCAAAACTAAACACACCTCTGCCACCAGGATAGAGAACAAACTGATTAGAAATAATACACACTTCAGGAAACAAATCTAGTAACAGAGGCCTTACATTTATGACAATACCTACAATGAAAGGAAGAACTTTCAATCATACGAGAAAAAAGACTGTGCAAAGGAAAAACTTATCTAAACTCTGCTGACAGCGCTTCCAGCAAAATACACCAAAGATGGAAGGGAGTTCACAGCTAGTGAGAATACCAGCTGAGTGACCTAGTGAAGGTGATGCAGACCACCCTGTAAAGAAATTTGATTCTGAGAGGACGCAACATTTTAACTCAGGCACTTAGACACCATGGTGATTCCAGATTCCAGACAGAACAACCGACTCCTATTATCAAACAAACTACAAGGTGCCAATAACATTTACAAAATAACTGCAAATTATTTACAATTTTTTACTTTATCTCAACATAGATTTTTTTTCTAATAATTATTTTGAATACATGCTGTTTTTCATGCATATCGTTCTGCAAATGGAATGAAATATCTCATTCAACACTCAATTAAAAAAAAAATCTATGATTCAAACTTGAAAAAGGCGCAAGTTCTTGCTGAAGGAAAAAAATCAGAAAATAGAAAAGGAACTGTTTGGGTACATCAGAATTAAGATAAGGCCCATAAGTACACACAAGTTGTTCACTATTTCAGTTTTACCATTCAGAAGCCAATTTTCCTAATTCCCAACAAGTTTCCTTAAACAAATGAACAAGCTCTCACTTCTGGTCTGAGACTTAGCAGGATAGATTTCAGGCCAAACTGAGATTTAGGGAGCTGAAAGTAGATCAATAAAAATTAAAAATCTGTTATTGAAAACCATCTGCTTTCTTAACTCTGAGCTCGCTACTGAACAACATCTTTGTTGTCCTTGCTGAGCACACTGAGAAGTTCAGCGTGCTTAGGGATCTGCATGAAAATTTTGCTTTTGTTCTTTCAGCACTCAGACCATCGTCCTCCCTGTTAGGAAAAAAATGTTCTCTAAAGAAAGAATGGCCACAATCTTCAAAGCTAAGCAGGCACACATTCTGGCTCACTCTTGAATACATTCAGATGTGCATTTAGGTACGGGGTATTAACCTGCAAATGCAAGATGTGCACATTTAAGGTGGAGTGCATGTTTTTATAGTTTGGAGCCAATGTGTGGGAGTAATGGGCTCCACTAACCTGCCATTTCCCAAGTCAAAAACCTATGTATTAAATCTACATTCAGTTTATTCTGGTTTTAAAAACTGTGACCTGTAATCTTACCATCATGATTAGAATTTCCCAGAGTCCATGGCTCATCTGAATCGAAGTGAGTATCTCCTCCTATTCCTGGTCCAGGAAAGTAAGCATGAGCTAGGAATCCACCTTCTCCATCAAATGGAGAACTGTCTCCATGGAAACCAGAAGCAAAAAATATCATAATATCTGCCTCCTTCCTGTCATTTTTAATTTCATGATAAGGAACCTCTTCAAAGGTAAGTGGCGTCACTCTCTGCCAAACATCAAATGCCTGGCGAATGGCTCTCCTTGTATCAATCTCTCCAACCTTGGGGGTGTAGTTGTGCACACTGTGTGAATGAGAAAAGAAGGACTGATTAAAGGCATAGCTCTCATGCAAGGCTATTACAACAGTTAGCAATTCTTATACTTTACCCAAACCAAACAGAGTTTCCGTTTTTGCAGGCACATTTATATATACATTTATATATGTATCTGCAATTTAAGTCAAATAGAAGACTATGGCTGAAATCCTAAGCCCACCAAAGTCAAGAGCAATCCTTTAATGACTTAAGTGGACTTCGCATTGGTCTTAAAAGCTCCCCAAATTAAGGATTTAAATATCTAGGTAACTTAATTAGAAAGGATGAATTATTGCAGTATTTTTTCCCTGCAGTTACTATGAAAAAATTAAATCTGCTGACTCTGTCAATTAGAGCTAAGTATGGCAGTGAGCTTATGATATGGAAGTTGAAACTGAGAGACACCCAAATTCTTCTTACAGACAGGGCACAAAAGATCTATTAGATGGGACCTACTTTCAACTTCCAGTGAAAGAGGCTGGATTCAAACTGTTAAAAAATAAGTAAAACGCCCTATAGCACAACAGTATTAAAGGCCACATTCACTTACACACCTAATAGGTGTGTAAGTGAATGCAGACTTTAATGCTGTCATCTATTAGGTGTGTAAGTGGATTGGATTGCCTATGTATGATTCTATTCCACCCTGCTTGAATCCCTGAAAATCAGTTAATGCAAAGGGTGGTTAGGTCCTCTTTTCATTGCTTTTTTGTAACAATCTAAAGGGTAAGATGGCAGAATGTTAAAAAAAGTACAGGCACTCCCTGCTTAACGCTGTTCTTCTTAGCAAGGGCGACTGGTGAGTCCCGAGTCGGGTGGGGCCAGTCCGTGGCTGGGGGGGGGGGAGGTCCCCCATGGCCAATCATTCTCCCGCCTGCCCCCCCGCCTGTCGCCTAAGTGGGGAACGCTGACTGTCAGGGGTTGCACCAGCACTCTCAGGGTGTGCATGTGCACCCCATGAGTCGCCACTGCCTCTTAGCACTATTTCGCTATAATGCTCATTTTATATTGATACCCAATTCCACTTAGCACTCAGTGAGTTTCATTATAATGCTCACGTCATCATACGGTGCCATCTTGGTTTGTCAAAAACTTTTGGTTGCATTTAACACTATTCTGCTTAATGCTCATTTTTTTGGGAACCAATTAAGAGTGCTAAGAGGGCGTTGCCTATACATACTTTAATGGATTTTTAGGACTTGAACAAGGTTGGAACAGAATTGCACTTGGGTGCCCAAGTCCACTTATGCACCTAATAGGTGGAATAGACTTTGGTCTTTCTTCACTGCCCCATGGGGGACACCAGAAAGGTCTGAATCAAAGACTGTCAAATCCAAAGGACAGACCTCTTGTACTTGACCTATAGGACTAACTTGCAGAAGAAACATGTGAACCAGTCTCTAGAATTAGGCATATCATATGCTTTTCCAACACGTAACAATTCTTGATGAGGCAATGCCAGAATGTAGTCACCAAGATCTCTGAATTCTATTCCTGACTGTGGGCAAAGAACGTAGTGTAATGGGTAGAGTAATGGATCCAGACAATACAGCCAAGCACTTGCATAAGCACACTCATTCTGTAAGGCAGTAGGACAACATGGACAAGGTTTTTGCAGGGACTTGGGTTCTGATTCTAACTCTGTCTGAAGTGATTGTGTCCAAAAAGAATGATGGATCAGCAAAAAAAAGGCTATGTGTCACAGCCTAAGAAGTCAGAGGAGAAACTGGGCACATTTACATGTACATTAATGCACTTTTATTAATGTGCATTAAATTTAGTACCTCTAATATAAGGTACTAAATAAATGTGCATTAAGCTGCCCTAATGCTCAGTACTGAAAGTGCACATTTCTTAAGTGACAATTAATGTGCAGTAGCCTGTTTTACCATGCATTAGCATACTTGCATAGGTTTTTTTGGGTGATGCTTTAGTGAGCAGTAAAATGGGCTAGTGCTCACTAAAGTGCACGTATAGACATGCCCATTGAGAACTGCCAAAAATCAAGTAAAGTTACACTTTGCCAAGGATACCAAATAGAAAAACTGAAAAGTTCCATGGTCATGTTTTTGAACAAGGAAAGAAGCAAGGCCACTATATGCTGAAGACTGAAAATTAAGGCAAAGACAATGAAAACAGGGTTATGGAGACAACAGTCTCCACAACCAAAGTAGAAGCAAACTCAAGATGCCAGTTACTATTCCATCTATTAGGTACTTAAGTGGCCTTAGATGCCAAAGTGTGATCCTCCAGCTTAAGTCCCTGAAAAAAGCAATAACTGGCCTACTTTTGTAAGATGCCATCATATTAGCTTTAGGACAAAGTCACAAAAAGCAGGAAGCAGAAGGCCAATTCATCCTCGTATTGCATCAGATATTTTTCAGGGACTTAAGCAGAGTGGAACAGGATCATACACAAGCACCTAATAGGTGGAATAGAGTCTGGCCAAAAGGTGCAATGTGCTAAAGTCAGCAGGTTCAAATTATCTCCACCTCAACTGTGAGAGAATGAACACATTAAATTCAACATCCAGTAGCAAATAAATCTATAAAGTTGGAGTTGTATCATATAACTGGAGAATAGCAAATATAGTGCTTATATTTAAGAAGGGGAAAAAAGTAATCCAAACAACTATAGGCCTGTTAGATTGACCTCAATAATATGTAATGCTTTCAAACAGATACTGAAGGAAAGAATAGTTAAAGTAAATGACAAATGTGATAAAATGCAACAGGATTTACCAGAGCTTGACTGAGCAACATTAGTATCTTTCTTTGATAAGACTCCCAATTTTCTAAATAAAGAAAATGTAGTAGTTCTCATCTATCTGGACTTTAATAAAACCTTAGATATAGTGCCACATAGGAACTTATTAGTTAAGTTGGAGAAATTGGTGGTTAATAGAAAATTATAAGGTGGCTAAAGAGAAGAGGGTAGGTAAGGTAAATATCAGATTGGAGGGAGATTCCTAATGGAATCTCCACACCTGAGGACAGCAGGGCAATCCAGGTTGACCTCAACAGGCTCAATAAATGGGCAGATGAGAACCTGATGGCATTTAACATTGAAAAATGCAAGGTTCTCCACCTTGGGAGGAAAAATCTGCAGCATCCTTATAGGCTCGGCAGTGCTACACTGGCTAGCACTTTGGACGAAAGGGACTTGGGGGGTATGATTGACCACAAGATGAACATGAGCCTTCAATGTGATGCTGCAGCTAGTAAATCAAGCAAAATGCTGGCTTTCCATAGATGCTTCTCAAGCAAATCTCAGGATGTCATTCTCCCATTGTACTCGGCCTTGGTGAGGCTGCAGCTGGAGTACTATGTCCAGTTTTGGGCTCCACAATTCAAAAAGGACATGGAGAAGCTTGAGAGAGTCCAAATGAGAGCCACGTGCATAATCAGAGGTCAGGAAAACAGATCTTACAATGACAGGCTGAGAGCTATGGGATTCTTCAGCCTGGAGAAGTGCAAGCTCAGGGGTGATCTGATGGCCATGTATAAGTTTATCATGGGCGCTCATCAGGATCTGAGGGAACGTCTGTTCACCAGAGTGCCCCAAGGGATGACAAGAAGGAATGGTCACAAACTCCTCCGTGACTGTTTCAGGCTGGACATAAGGAAGAACTTCTTTACTGTCCGAGCCCCCAAGGTTTGGAATAGACTACGGCCAAAGGTGGTTCAAGCACCTACTTTGAATGCCTTCAAGAGACAGTTGGAACTTGCTGGGATCCTATGACCCCTGCTGACTTCCTGCCCTTTGGGCAGGGGACTGGACTTGATGATCTCCCAAGGTCCCTTCCAGCCCTAATGTCTATGAAATCTATGAAATTCCTCATGAATCAGTATTGGGAACAAACTCATTAGCATGTTCATCAATGACTTGGCACACAAAGCAGAAATAGGCTCGTAACATAAGGTTAGGAGGCATTATTAATAGAATGATCAGGATATCATAGAGACAGAACTGGATGACTTTAAAGCTTGGAGTAATAAAATGGCATGAAATTCAATAGTACAAAATGTGAAGTCATGCATCAGAAGACTAATTAAGACAATCATCATAGTAAGAATAGTTTTTCAATATGTGTGGGTTTCTTATGGTGCAAATGTGCCTCAAGCATTCAAATTTGGAGATTTTATTTAGACAAGTGGTACTTGTACAGTACAAATGCACACTGTCTCCTCTTGTGTTCCATGCCAGACATAAAGTGCTTTCAGCACCTCAATTTCTTCACAACAGCAGAGACATAAGGGAGACCCCTCCCACACGTGCATGGCAGGAAGCATGATTGTGGGATCACGCATTAGATCTAATTGCACAATATTGCTGATGTAGGGGGAACTCAATCCTGGACTCCCCCTGCATCAGCAAGAAGAAGGCTGCCACAGCTGGAAGTCCCTTTTGCTGAGGGGGTTCCCAGCTGCAGGAAAAACGCACAACCTGGACAGTGTCCCATACCTGACTTGGCTTTCCATCCCAGCTGTGCCGCATGAGGAGTGCAGCCAGGGCCAGAAGCCCCATCAGGTATGGGATTCCCAGTCCCAGCTGTGTGTGTGGGCCAAGGGGCTTGATGCACCCTCAAGCTTTGGGATTTGCAGCAGCTGTGATCCTCTGGGCTGGGGAGGGGATGGTGGTTCATGCACTCCTAAGCCCTGGGGATCATGGCAACTTCAATTCCCAGGGTTTGGGGATTTCAGGCTGGGTATAGTGCACCCCTGCAGCCACAGGTGGCGGAAGGTGGGGTGGGTTAACAGGGCTCAGCCCCTGCAAACACAGGGCAGCAGGTATGGCTGCAGGGCAGCCCAGTTGCAGGCTGTTGCAGTGGGGGAGGGGCACACACACTCAGATACCCCGCATAGCCAGGATCACAGCCAGTCCAGCAGGCAGGTAAGTTTCTGTTTTCTTTATGACTGCCTGGGCTTGTGGAGGGGGCGGGGGGCGCGATTGGGACCTCCACAGTGCAGGAAGGAGGGAGTTACGGG